GAGGGGACCGGACTGGGAATGTGGGGAGACCAAGTAATGTAGCGGTGGTGAGGGGACCGGACTGGGAAGTGGGCGAGTCAGGGGTAATGTTAGGGTGGTGAGGGGGGATCCGGGACTGGGAAGTGGTTGGAGATCAGGTAAATGTAGGGTGATGCAGGGACCGGACTGGAAGTGGGGAGATCAGGTAATGTAGGGTGGTGAGGGGACCCGACTGGAAGTGGGGAGATCAGGTAATGTAGGGTGGTGAGGACCGGACGGTGGCAAGTTCGGGAGATCAGGTAATGTAGGGTGGTGAGGGGACCGGACTGGAAGTGGGGAGATCAGGTAATGTAGGGTGGTGAGGGGACCGGACTGGAAGTGGGGAGATCAGGTAATGTAGGGTGAATGGGACGGGCGCCGGATGGAAAGTGGGAATCAGCGGTAATGTAGTCGGTGCGTGAGGGGAACCGGACTGCGAAAGTGGGGAGATCAGTAATGTAGGGTGGTGGAGGACGACCGGACTGAAGGTGGCCGAGATCAGGTAATGTAGGTGGTGAACGTGACCGGACTGGAAGTGCGGGAGATCGGTAATGTAGGCGTGGATGAGGGGCGACCGGATGAAGTGGGGAGATCAGGTAATGCTAGGGTGGTGCAGGCGGACCGGACTGGAAGTGGGGAGATCAGGCTAAACGTTGTGGCTCCGTGGCCACAGGCGACAGCCGCGAATGCCCAATTTTCCCTTGATGTGCGTCGATTGTCATGCACAGTAGCTTCGTAATAACAGTCGCGCCGTTTCAGTCATGAAAAGGAAGTGATATTATTCTGATCTTGATTACTCTTATTTTTCACCTTGCGCTTCGTTAATGATGCGTAGCTTCGTGACAAACGGCATAGTTAGTGCGATTCTGCTCAATGATTAATGGCTTCGCGAGCGCAGAAATAATATCCGTGAACATGTTCCAAGCGACCTTCCACAGTTTTCTGTGCAATCAGTATGTGATCGAACCAAGATGTGCTACCACTGGAGGACTGGGAGGACTGTCATCTTGTAACGATAGAGACACTGCAGAGTATACAACTTGCGTGTAGTGGTAAGCAAGTGAATGACTAACGTGTGCTGTCTGTGTGTGTGTGTGTGTTGTGTACATAGACGGGCCACCCCCGGCGGGAGGGGACGCCGTCATCGCGGGAGCTGGGAGAGACGGGCTGGGTGAGGGTTCAGTGTGCAGTGGGACAACAGCAGCACCAACTCCTACGCATGGGCCGCGAGGGCCAAGTACGAACCTGAAGCTGCAGGAACCTCCGCCGTGCAGGAGAAAGATGTGCAGGAGACGGAGTTCAGACACGGAGAGTGGTTGAGTAAGCAGGCGTCTCACATGTTAGTCATAATGATTACATTAGTCAGCAGCAGTGTTACTAGCCAGCAGAGCAGCAGCCAGCGCGAGCCAATCAGCAGTAGCAGCAGTAGTAGTAGCCAGCAGTAGCAGCAGGAGCAGCAGTAGTAGCATCCGTAGTAGCAGCAGCAGCAGACAGTGCAGCATCAGCAGCTAGTAGTGCATTCAGTGAGTAGCAGGCAGTATAGCAGCAGCATAGCAGCAGAAAGCAGCAGCAGCAGCCAGCAGCAGCAGCTAGTAGCCAGTAGCAGCATAGCGCCAGCCAGCAGCAGCTTACCTGATCTCCCCACTTCCAGTCGGGTCCCCTCACGACGCGTGTTCCTATCTTCATCATGGCAGCGAGCTCGGGTCCTGTGAGAGGCAGCTGCTGCTTCTTGGGCTTGGGCCGCGTCTCTTCCAGCACTGTGCACACCAGACCGGCGTTCTTATCCTCCACCTGACCATCCTGGTCCGGACCTGACCGCCGATCGCAAGTCGTTAACGTGAGGAATCGCGAGTGGTACGTGCGTATAGTATGCGATATGTATACAGTACGTATGGAATATTTATGCAATATGTATGCAGCAGTTTTAGAATATTTATGCCATAGTAGGTTTTATGTACGTAGTAGGTTTTAGAATATTTCTGAAATATCTATGTGGGAGTTTTGGACTAGTTGTATGCTAACATCTACATGCATACGTTTTGTAATATGTTTGCGATATGTGTGGAGTACGTTTGGAATACGTGTACAATACGTATGTAGTTTTTTGAATATCTACGCAATATTATTTGCCCCATCATGGGCTAACCATGATTAACAGATAGATTATACAGTGAATATGAATAAATCCTACAACACGCGTTTTTCTAGCATAAGCTTCGTGATTTTACCTGACCACAATAACTGTTTTTTAGTGTTTTATAATAAATTTGTTTACAAATTTATATAACATTTTTTATGAAGTTTATGAATTTTGAGGAGTATTCTAATACCTAGCAGTCTGAGGACAGTCTGTATGATAGCCAACGTTCCACTGTTGATGAGTAGACTAATGCTGTGAGCTTTGTGAGGTGATGACAGCATGCACAACACCAGCAACAGAAACCTGTAAATAAACAGACAGCAAACACCTGTAAACACATGGACAGCATACATATGTAGACACACAGACAGCAAATACCTGTAAACACATGGACAGCAAATACCTGTAAACACATGGACAGCAAATACCTGTAAACACATGGACAGCATACATATGTAGACACACAGACAGCAAATACCTGTAAACACATGGACAGCAAATACCTGTAAACACATGGACAGCATACATATGTAGACACACAGACAGCAAATACCTGTAAACAGCATGGAGCAGCATACATTGATTAAGACACACAGACAGCAAAGTGCCTGTACACACATGAAGCATACATATTTAGACACCACAAACAGCAAATTACCTGTAAGCACATGACAGCATACATATGTAGAACACACAGAACAGAAAATACCTGTAAATACTATGGAACAGCATACATATGATAGACATACAGAGCCGGCAAACACCTGTAACACATGGACAGCAAATACCTGTAAACACATAGACAGCAAATACCTGTAGAACAGCATGGAAAGCATAGCATATGTAGGACACGCAGACAGCAGAAACACCTGTAAAACATGACAGCAAATTACCTGTAAACACATGGGATCAAGCATACATACTGTAGGAACACATCAGACAGAAATACGATGTAACACATGGAACATACATATGTAGACCCAGCAGACAGCAAAATACTGTAACACACAGACAGCAAATACCTGTAAACCATGGACAGGCATACATATTGTAGGCGACACGACAGCAAATACCTGTAAACACACTGGACAGCATACATATGTAGACGCGCACAGACAGCAATACCTTTGTAACACATGACAGCAATACATATGTAGACACACAGATCAGCAAATATCCTGTAAACTACATGACATGCATACATATGCTAGACACACAGACAGCAAATTTACCTGTAAAATACATGGATCAGCATACATATGTAGACATACAGACAGCGAAACACCTGTAAACACATGGACAGCAAATACTGCTAAACACATTAGACAGCAAATAAACTGTAAACACATGGACAGCATACATATGTAGACACACAGACAGCACATGTAGTAGACACACAGACAGCACACATGACAGCTAGAGTTCACATGCTGGGAGACACCTCACCTGGTACACGGCATCACAGCTATGGTGTGACTGTTATCATTGTGCAGCAGAGCAGCCGGTGTGATGCTCTCCCTGCGGTTTCTTCACGGCCGAGTCTAGCTCGAGCACGGACTGACGCAGCGCGGCAACCGTCCACGCCTCCAGCCGGGCCAAACTGCTGCTCCAAACGCTATGCGGTCGTGCGGCGGGATCAGACCCACGTTGTCCAGGCAGTACGGCATCGGCTCACTGCAATAACAACGTAACCGTCACACACAGGCAATAACAACGTAACCTCACACACAGGCAATAAAACGTGACCGTCAAGCACGACAGGCAATAAGGCGTCACCCTGCAATATACCAAACGTAAGACTGTGCACACACAGGCAATAAGCTCTAACTGCAATGAAGCAACGTAACCGGTCCACACACAGGCAATACGCTGCCACTGCACTAACAACGGTAACCGTCCACACAACAGGCAATAAGCTCACTGCAATAGACAACATACCGATCACACCCAGGCCAATAAGCTCAGCTGCAATAACAAGATTTAAACCGTCGACTACACAGGGCAATAACAACGTAACGCGTACCACAGGCCAATAAGCTGCACTGCAGATAACAACGTGAACGGTCCACCACCAGGCCAATAAAGCTCCACTGCAATCAAAACGAACGCGTCCACACAGGCAATAGCTCACTGGCAAAACAACACGTAAGCGCGTCAGCACACGGCAAATTAAACTCCACTGGCAATTAACACGGTAACGCGGTCACACACAGGCAATAACTCACTGGAATGAACAACGTAAACACGTCACACACAGGCAATAAGCTCACTGCAATAACAACGTAACCGTCACACACAGGCAATAAGCTCACTGCAATAACAACGTAACCGTCACACACAGGCAATAAGCTCACTGCAATAACAACCAGTAAAACGCGTCACACACAGGCAATAAGCTCACTGTAAAAACAAATTAAAGTAACTGTCACCCATGCAGTATGGTCACTGCAATAACAATGTAACTGTCACAGGGGCAGTATGGTACCATCTATTAAATATAAACAAATATAATATTTATATATATATACCACACACACCACACACACACACACACCCAACACATATATAATATATAGTATTTTATTATTTTAATTTATTTATTTATTTATTTAGATACAGCTGTGATTGTAGATATTATCACATTCACTGCAAAGCCCCCCGCATGCAATCACGTGCATAATTATCGCATACTACACTGAAATATTTTTGTCCTGAATCATCATAACAGCAAACAGTCAACCATTCAAACACGCGCACACCAGTGACCATCGCTGTTCTGCAACTAACACCAACCTCTTCACGCTGCCTCCTGCCAGACCCAGCCAGCCACACAGCAGGCTGTACTTGGCTGAGCGGATGAGGTAGTCCTTGTTAACGAGTTCTAGCATGCTCTCCACGCCTTTCTTCCTCAGTGAAGCTCTCTCCACCTAGTAACACGTTCTCCAATCAGCACGGTCTATCCATACCCCTAACCCCTAATCATAATCCTAATCCTAACTCATTAACTGCAGCCCTAACCCTAACCCCTAACCTCTAACACCTAACACTGAACCCTAACCTTAACTCTAACCTCTAACACCCAACACTGACCCCTAACATTAACTCTAACCTTAACCCCACTCCCAACCATAATCCCAACCCCTAACCTAACCATAACACAATAACCCTACCCTAATTTTAACCCTAACACTAATATAAACCTTAACCCAAACCTTACTATTCCCCGACTACTCATTCATGTTCAATTCATATCCATATTAATTGGTGAGCCTTAAGCCTGCAAGCTAAATGACTATTTTATAACGCTACTTTATCCCCATATTTCCGAGCAGCACATACCTGGTGCCACAAGCTCTTCCTCAGCTTCTCGATGTCCACTCCCTCCTCCTGCATAACGAACGCTACGATGCTGCTGATCAAGGTGCTGTGTGTGGGGGCGCCACCGAGCCTCTGACGCAGCCAGCGGAACTGCCGAGCGCAGCTCATCGTGCTGACACCTGGTGGCCACTTATCCTGCGAATGCACGAGTCGTCGTTAGCGCGAGTCGTCGTTAGCGCGAGTCGTCGTTAGCGCGAGTCGTCGTTAGCGCGAGTCGTCGTTAGCGCGAGTCGTCGTTAGCGCGAGT